TTCCTCATTTCCAACTAATTGGAAAAAGTTAATTAGGGTGCAACCAGATGTTTGTAAGCGTGTCGACTGAAGACTTCCAAGCATTTCGCTAGCCTTCTACTGGTGCCTGTGTCTGCGCGAAATAGTCTTATCGTTGAGGTTGATAGGGATCCCAAGGTAAGTAATTGTAGATGTAGGATCCAGAACCGAACTCCAATTTTATAAGGTATATCTTGAGCTACATTGTGGGCAAGCCACACGTACTTGTACGCGCAAAATTCGAAAAATGTTACAGACGTCCATAGGCTTTAAGAAAAAGAGCGGGACAGAAAAAGAGTCTATGCCCAAGAACTGCAATATAAGTTTATTAATTTGCGGGTGGGTTGTGGCTGATTTTAAATTTAAGTTTTTTAGTTAAAGCCATGAATCATTACTTAAAATTTAAAGTGCATACCAATTGGATTACGATTTGTCCTGATCTAATAGCGACACATACTATAATTTAGAAAATATTAAGTAGAGATTAGCGATCTGAATTTTAATCAAGCTCAGAAATTTTTCATTTCAAATATCTATTCTTAATCCGATTGATGGAATTTTTACAATTATTTAATTTGATAAATTGTTTCATATTTAAGTTTAGCTTCATCACATCTTTTATAGTTTTATAATACCATTAGATTTATATTTTGTGTATTCTTTCTTATTATAAGTGTAGAGCCATGTAATGGCATTGTGATTCGTGAACTAGATTATGATCCGAGTTCCTTATGATGTTGGCTAGGAATTGGATACGACGTTTCTTTAAGGTAATATGAATTGGGGTATGTTTTGATGTTCTCCATAGATTATTATTTGATATCACTTTTGGGTAAAAAATGCCATTTATAATTCGTAAGTAATTATTTATGAATGATTGCATTCTTATGTTTTATGTCTTATTGATTTCCCATAATCCTCACCAAATAAAAAATTATCATATATTTATAAAAAGACCCTCTCGCCTTCTATATTCTTGTTTTCAACTCTTCCTTACAGCAACCCCTATTGTCCAGCATGACGCCCAAATATTTTATTTTGTCTACTATCTTAATCACATTTCAACCAATTGTAAAATTTAGGTTTTGGGCTGTATTTGGGAAAGGGAGAATGTAAGTTTTATTAAAGTTAATTTTTAGCCCCATTCTTTGATTTAGGGTTATTAATAAGTATAGCTAATCTTTCGTTTCTTCGATACTTGTAGATACGACGACGATGTCATCGGCATATGATATCACCCGATTTTTCAAACGTATCGCGACATTTGAACCCATATCAATTACTCGGCTCCTAGGGCTTCTTTTATGATTTTATAAATTATGATATTAAACAAGAGAGGTGAGAGTGTGCATCCTTGTTTCACACCCTTTTTTATTCTGAAAGTGGGGGGATACCTTATTGTTAATTTTAAAACAAGTGGATAAATTAGAATAGTGATTTATTAGGATATAGATAACATTCGGTTCAATCCCACATTTCGAAAGTGTCCTCCATAGGGCCTCGTGGCTTACGTTATCGAATGCCCTACTGAAATCTACGAAAGTGAAGAAAGCAGGAATTTTATATTTCCAACATTTTTGTTTCATTATTTTTAATGTAAGAATTGTTCCAGAATATTTTTGTTGGGTCTGTAAGCACAAATATATTTTGGGAGTAAGTTTGATACGGATGACATAATCCTATTTTTAATAGGACCATGAAGATCTTAAATATGGTAGATGTAAGAGCTACATCACGATAGTCTTTAAATTCCTTTGGGTCATTTATCTTGGGAAAATTACATAAGAAAGAATTATTCCATTCTACAGGGGTTTTACCCTTTCCCAGTTTTTATTAAAAAGATATAATAGAAAGGACGATAAAGTTCAAGGTGCGATTTTGAGATGTTCGGCCGTTATTTTATCGAGCCCAGGAGCTTTATTATTACAGATACATATATAATTTAATGTATTTTTGAGAAATGCATATTTGAAAGTTTTTAAATTCAATATTTATTTTAAAAGCATAAATTTTCATGAACTAATTTATTTTCGGGATAATATATGTTATTCGTAATGTATCATATATTTTCAATTTTGAATTTTTAAAGGTTATATTTATATATATATATATATTATTAATTAATAAAATGAACAAAAATATTAATGTATTAGGAATAGAAATTTAGGAAAATAATCTTATAGTAATAATCTTAAATAAAAGACTAACTATTTTTTAATATAATCACAAATAAAAATTTATGATAGGATAAAAATATTTGCAATACCTTAAATATTCAATATCATTTAAATTTTTAAGAAAACAAGGTTTTAGAAATTCAGTCCTTTCAAATATTGATTATTGTGATATAGTAATTGAATTTTTTTTATGTTCGTAAATGCTTCGCAAATTTTAAACATTTGTGAAAATATTGTTGATTTTAATTTATATTGTCCTAAAATTTAATAAAGAATATCATGTGGATTGGATTTGTTTTTTTTATTTCGTTTTAGGTGTAACCAAACCCGTTCAGAGTTTTTATGCTATTTTTAAACTTTTTCTCTAGCACTTTGCTATTTTTTTCTATTCTAAATCATTTATTAATGGGTATTTTCATATTTGGAGAAAGTCTGATTAAAAATGTAATGTATTTCAACATGTAGGGGCATAGCTTGAAATTTCCTTTAGAGTGGAACAAAATAAATTGTACAGTCATTTATTACAAATTTATAAACGATGTTCAAATCAAACAAGTTCATGAATAAAGTTGGTTATTTTTTTGAAAAGAATACATGGTAAATGTATTTTTTTGCTATATCTCTCAGTTTATAATTTATAATTATGGACGTTTAACCATAATATGTTTTTATCACGTATTTTTTATTACATTGTTATATTTTTGATCATATGTTTTTATTTGTATTAGACAAGGGTTTAACAAAATCTTTAAATCGGCATTTGAAGATTTTTTCACCCAAATTTTTGAGCATAGAATCTTTGAAAATCAAAGCAATCTTTAATTTTTTTGTGCAAAATATTTCAAAAGATAAAAATAAGTAAGTAATGTCTTTATGCTCAAGGGTTTGGAAGTTATTCACGTTAACATTGTTGCCCAATCAATCGCTCCCGGTCTTCCCATTTTGATATTGATGCATCTTTCTAACTGAACTCCATTCAGATTACATCTAAATATTTTAACTTAGTTACTATTTAACACACAAGATTAAGTGTTTTCCAAAAATATAATAATAGTTAACCCAAATTAAAAATAATAATTATTAGTATTATAACATCTTTACATAGTGTTGTTAAAAAGCCAAATTGAGGTCGATTTTTCTAAACCGATTAAGATTTTATCTAAAATAATATAATGTAAGCATCGAGATATGGTAAATAGATGTCCAAGCATTTCTACCAGCTATGAGCAAAATCTTTAGGCATGATGTTATTTTGGTTATAACTTAATAGGGCAGTTTTTAAAATCGACCCGAATCGAGCTTTTACTCTCGAAACATGCTCAAATTATTTATTCTAATATCTTTTAACTAAAATTATTTTTAAAGGTTCTGAGATGAGTATTGTGACAATTGTCACTTTTACAACAAATATTAAATATTAAAATTATGGTAAAACATTTTTAAAATAATAATTCCAAATATTAAAATATACAATGGGAATTATGACAATTCGCACATTTACAACTTAAAATTGTTCGAAAAAATATTATTCTAAGATCAAAAAATAAAAGAAAAGATTTTCCCTCAAATATTTTATTTTTAAAAAATCACAAAATACTTGCTCAAAAGATTTTTAAATCTAAAATGTTTTATATCATCAAAAATCAGAGGATTATATTTTATTATATTATAAAATTCCCAAAGATTTGCTAAAATCATAGAAGATTTTTTTACAAAAATGATTTTTTATTTTGCTCAAAAATCTTCTATGAGTTTTCTCAAATTTTTTTTTACAACCAATCCTGGTTATGAGAATCAGATGTTTGGATTCAAAATATTTGTTAATTATAGAAATTTATTGTATGAATATATATATGAATAAATAAATGTTAATGAATTTGGTCTTATGGTAATGATATAATTATTATTGATATGCCAAATCTGGTGACTTTTATTATTTTATAATCATAGTGGGAAAATTATTTTTTGAGTATAATGTTGAAGGAAAAGAAGGGAAAAGTTGTTAATATTGAAAATAACATTTTAAAATATTTGACTCACTCTCTTATCCAAATGGGCAACAATAAGAGAAATACTACATAATTATGCAGCAGTCAAGTTAAAAATGACTAATGATACTATAACTGATTATGACTGACAAACCATTAGATAAAAATCTAATAATAATATCAGAATGGCAAACAAAATTATCTATATACATATATTGATTATTTCCATTGAATACAATAAATTATTTTTTGGATAAGGGCTTGGGCAAAACTTTGAAACTTATTATGGATTCGTGCAGGGCTTGGCAATTATTTTTAATATTAGATATAGGCCGGGTCCGGGCCTATAAATATTTTTTACTGTGTGCCTAGCCGGATCAAAATATCTAGCATCATGAAGATCTCTAATAGAGATAATTAGAAAATAGCTTTGCTATATAAAATCGATTCAATTAAATTGATTTATAATGAGCAAGTTTAAATTTAAAATTTTTTTTATAAAGTCGTTTTAATGATATAAAAAAATATTTTATTTATTTACATACAATTTTACAGAGTTGTTAAAGGATCTAGATACCCTGTATCTAGATATAAAAATGTGGTATCTGTATCTGTATATAGATAGATTTTTGATTAAATAATCTGTATCTAGATATTATTATATGCATAATTTTATCTCATAAATTATAGGGAATATATAAATTTAAAATTTTACAAATATTATAATGAACCTAATACACGTAATATTAACGAAAATTTTAATATATATATATATTATTAATTAATATAATTATCAATCTTGATTATCTTGGTCTGATTAAATATCGATTAAATCACTTTTTTCTCCTAATGGATATGAGAACCAACTTTAAGGTTAAAAGAAAATTTAGTAGAATTCCATACTTGGTTCTTAAGGCATGTTGGATAGTATAGCAGACTCTCAAGAAAATCGACATTATTATTGGCATCGATGAGTAATAAATTTATATTCCTGGTACCATAGTATTCTTCTAAATTGGGATATTGAGGAACACTTTTTTTATCGCCAATATAATTGGGTGCAATGAATAATGAACTTTTGCTTTTTATGTCCTCCGAATCGTAGTCTAAAGACGTTAGCTCATTTTCAAGATTTTTGTCAGGAAGGAAACTATATTTATAAAATATTTTTAAAATATAAAAAGATTATTAATGTTGAATGAAATAGTCAATTAGTTTTTTAAAAATATTCATAAAATATGTTTTATTTTATTTTTAAGTTTTTAAATTTGTATTTTTTTTGTATAACTTTAAACGATTTTTATATTAGTTTTATTATATTAGAATCTATTAACCAAATAATAACTTTAACTTTTTGTAATTTATATTTTAATAAACAATTTAAAATGATGAAAAGGATCGAGTGAGAATTAAAAATGACGATATTATTTATAGGAAAATTATAAATTTAGAATAAAATTATTTGATCAAAGCATACCAGGATATATAATCCATTTACCTTATTCCATCAATTTATTATAAATAAACACATGTATATGGCTTACAAATATTGATTTTTCATCAATTCCAGTATTCGTTTAGCCAGTTGACTGTATTGAGTCAAATCCATACCATATTCCTGTATTATATTCATAAATTCAAATTTGCCTTCTGAAATTTTTCTCCATTCTTTGGATGGATTATCGGAATGTGGATTTTGTCGGGAACTACAAAAGGCGTGTATGGTTCCCGACTTCAATTCTTCCTTGATATTCAATAATGTATTTGTGTAATCAAAATGCCAACCTTTGTTAGTTTCATCGTCAATAGGTCTTTTGTCATCATAATGTTGTACTAAAAATCCCGAATCGTCGTTACGTGATAATACCTAAAAAAAATAATAAAAAAAATAAATAAAAACATTATTATTTACTCTTTTTGAATTTTGCTTCTGAAGCTGGGAGTGGTAGAAAGATCCACATTGTCCCGTTATCATTTGATAAGGTTGGTAATTTTTATAATTGTCTCGAGCATTTTTGAGAGCATCCTGGTAGCTTTCGAGTGGCATGTCTTGATTAGACGACGACTTCGAGGTAAAATCAAAAAAATTTCTTAATGCTGCACTCCCGGGTTCAAGTGCATATTCATCGTTTCCTTTGTTATGCCTATTATAATTATTTTCGATATCCAAAAAAGCGCCAACTCTACCTCTTAAGTCAATCCCAAAACATGTTCCCTTTTTGGATGTGGAATCTGTGGAATAATTGCGTCCATTGCGGGGAAAAATATCGCTTCCTATATAATTTATAGTTTATACAAAATCCACTAGTCATAAAATATACCAAGTTCAAAGTTTGAACCCACAAAATTATTTGAACAGGTTCAGATTAGGTTCAACCTCAGATCAAAATCATGAATCCGGTTAGGTTCAATGTCAAATAATTAGTTAGAATTTAAAAACTCATTAATTTATTAAATGCCAATCAAGTATTTAAAATATCAATCAAAAATGTTTAAAAAAAATTAATTAAAAAATTTTTTTTTAAAGGATTTTATTTAAACTATACTAAAGCGAAATACATTATAATGCTATAAATATTGATCATCTCTTTATAAATTTTATTTATCATCGTCAGTATTTGAATTTTATTCAATCGCAAAAAATAAATCTTCCATCATTCATTAAATTTAATAAAAATAATACCCGAAAAGATGTCTTCTCAAATTAAATAATAGAGAATTCAAATTATCTCATGGACCCAATCCGTCGGCTCAAGAGTGAAAAATTGAAAGGGTTCAGTTTTGGTTGAAATGCTTATAGAAAAATTATACACGAGTTTTGAAATTTGTGATATATCAAATTTGTTTTAAAATATAGAAAGGGACAGACAAAAACGAATTAAATTTAGTGAGAGAATATACATTATGCCCCATAACAAAGTGTAATAAATATTTAAGATTTTATCGGTAAAAAAAAATAGAACGCTAATACATACCAGAGCGTTCTAGCATTTGAGAACGAATATTAAAAATAGTATAATCAATCTGGGCTTTTAGATTAATTCTAAAAGTTTTGAAAGTTTGCACATTAAATAATTTATTGTCTGCTTAGTTTTCTCCTTTTAAATATCTAATAATAATCGAAAATTCGAAGATGACCATATAAATAAGACCCCTCAAGTTTTTAAAGCAATTTAAAATAACATTAGAGATTTCCTAGAGCAAAGCCATTTGGAATCATAAGTTTTCACCTACTTTTTATTTTTTAACAAATTAATTAAAATTTGACTATTAACTTATTAAATCTAATAAACAAGTTCAATTACCAAATAGTTTTTTAAAAAAAATGTAATAAATAATTCATTTCAAATTCTAATAATGGTAGTAATATATAATATGACCTGCAAGAGACAAATATTTTCAACCCAAACCAACTTAACCCAACCTCGACCTTTAGAATAAAAATATTTCCTCGATAACCGTAATGACTAAATCCGGATATAAAATTAATTCCATACTCCCAATTCTACTCGATCCGAAAATCAAGATAAAAAAACATTAGACCTAAAATTAATTAATTTTTTAGCATGTTATAAGAAATAATCTATAAATGAAACAAAATTATTAAAATAATATAGAATAAAACCATGATTTATTTTATAATATTACTAATTAAATTTAAAATTATAACAACCGATCCACCTGAAAAATCTCCAATATAATAAAATACTTTATTAGTTATTGGAAGATAAAATCTTCTATAATCCAAATATTTTTTTAAAATTATATCATAATCATACTAATTATTTATGTAGATTATTTCTATAGAGTTAATAAATCAATTTATCTAAATAGATTTTGGCCCAAGCTTATGACAAATAATTTAATTACAAAAATAAATACGCTTTAAGACTATAAAAATAACGATGAAATCGTGATATTTTTTCATTTGTTTTATGTTTACGTTCAATTTATTATAAGGTAGTGATATCGATAAAAAGAATTCCAATAATATCTCAATATTTGACATAAAGTTGATAAATTTATATTCAAATCTTGACATTGATTCTTTTAAAATATTTTGTTTGCTAGTATTGTTTAAAATAAAAAGTCATAAAAAATAACAATAAGAAGAAGATAAAGAAAAAACTATAAAAAATTATAATATTATATTTTTTGCCAACTTTAATAAAAAGAAATATTTTATTATAATATACATATAATTTTATATAATTAGTAGCCAAAATGGAGTTAGGCATTCCCGGATCTAGTTTAAAAGCGTGACATTTTTAATTAAAAAAAAATAGGGAGAGGGGCTTTTAAAAACGTTTTAATCTCATTTAAATAGTTTTTTTTAGAAATTAAATTTAATGTGTGTTATAATAATGAAAATATGAGGTAATAGAGTCACTAGATGAAGGGGGGGGGGATACAGATGCTCAAGTCCCCTAAAAAATTTGAAAAGCCCCATGAGAATTTTGAAAATTTTCAAAAAAATATCTAAAAACCTTTCCCTGGATAACACAGACTTTGTTTAATTTCACTTTTTAACCCAGAATTAGTCAGATCCCAATTCTGCTACACCTCATAACCATTGAATTTGAAGTAGGGTATCTCACAGCATTATTTCCAATATTCAGTATCAAATTAATTAGAAACGCCGAATAAGGATCCATTTAATCGATTGCAACCACTTTAGAATGTAAATTGACTCGGATCAGCACTAACAGCTTTTGTAAAATCTCTTCTATTACTATGACTTTCGCATACACAACTTTTAATTTTTTTTATATAATGATTGGCATTTGCTAAGGTGCAATGACCTTTTATATTATGAAATCATATCTCATATCTTAAAAAACTCTAAAATAGGGTGGCATCCCATAAAACCCGACCTGATCGTTTAAAACGATGGAGAATATTCTCGTCAAATGTGTATACTTTATTGTCTAGTATTTTCTTAATGGTTCTTTTCCAGTGATAATGCTCATTCGATGATTTTGTTCCCACTTAGTCAAAATTCCTAACTACACATCCTTCTGACTGATATATTCCTCTACTAACCTCTTTTATAACGAAATAGTTATCTACAAATTCCATCTATGCTACTCTATCTTCAAATAATTAACCTTCGAAAGGTTGGCAGAACAAAACAAAAATAATTAATTAATTACTTAAGTTGAGCTCACACCCGATACACCTGCTGAGTCTCAGCTAATTGGAATACTTCTGAACTACTGCACCAATTCATTAAATTATATACCATATTTATTTTTATATAATTTAAACCATATAAATGGCAGTGAGTTTTAACATAAACCTATTTCAAATAACTAAAATCGATAAGATAAAAAGAAATATCATTGTAAAATATTTTTAAAAAAATAAAGAAATAAAAAGGCATTACGCATTAATAAACGAGATTAAAAAAAAGAAAACAAAATGGAGGAATAAATTTTAGAGGGATGAGATAAGGCCCATTATATCGGAAAGAAAATATACTGACAAATAATCTAAAAAGTGAGCTCTAACTTTTAGAGTGAGCCAAAAAAAATTTAGATTGGTATATAGAGTGAGTGGCATAAAATCGTGATAGGGACATTTTAAATAGTAACTGAATTGAAAAAGGGAGAATAAAAGATAGGAAATTGAGTTTTAATACTAACCGGCCCAATAATTAAGTGAGGAAGACCATTACAAAGTGACATATTTTTTAGTTTGCTTATTGCCCGGGGGTTGCAACGAAATGTGAACTCCTCGTTTGTTTCCCTTCTCATAATACCACAGTATACATTTTTGAATACATAATAATTATAATACTTGAAAACATGGTTTGAAATTGGACTAAAAAGGTGGTTTCAGTTCTGAAGCCGCATTCTAGGAGGGCTTAATTTTACTAATTCTGATTTATATTCAGAATTACAGCATGGGACACCATTTTTGGTTTTTGTTTTAAATGATAGATTTTAACACTAGGTGATTGATGATATCTTTAAAATAAGCTTCTTCATATTTTTTAAAAAATCTAAAAATCACTATTCAGAAGAGATATTTCAAATTCTTACGAGAGATGTAGCCTGAATGTTTTTTTCATTTAAAAAAAGCGTACCGGGTATGGTTCCGATTCAGAAATTTGATATTGTTTATGAGGTTTCCGTTCTGTTTCCAAATTTTGCTAATAAGGATTGAAAAATAAAATTTTGAAAGGGTTAAAAAAATAAATAAATCCTCCAAAATGAATTATACACAACATTTTTAACAAAATAACATTAGTTTGCACTTCTGTTAGTCCAAATTCCTAGAAGATATAAAATAGGGAGAGGGGTTCTGATATCGATTCCAACATATGCATGGCCAAGATTTTTTTAAGTGAAAGGGGAAGCACTATTTAGTTGGGGTTATCCCTATTAATTTTATTGGATAAGACCTATGCAGGGTATGTTACATTTTTTAAAATAATAGTTTTGGTTTTTCATTTTTTTTTAAATGTATTTTTATCTAAAAACTTTGAATTTCATTATTTTAAACAATGACTAACTTTACCTATTTTTCTTTTTCAAATGATTGTTTATAGTTAGTAGACCTTTTTGGAAGAAAGGAGATTGGTGAGGGGCTTTGAATAGCTTAATATAATATAATCACGAGAATAGATAAATTTATGAAAAGAGAGGGGAATTGCCCGCCTCCCCATCTACGTCTGTGGGTTTCAAACTCCGAAAAATTACTATTTATAAATGAGAGATAGAATAGAGATTGCATCCTAAATTATACAAAACATAAGTATAACACCTGATATGATATAAATAATACTTTCTAAAAAAATTAACTCCTATTTTTTGTAAAATTTCACATTTATTTTTTAGCTCATATCTATCTCTCTATTTTTTTATTTATTGTAAAATAATATTTATTAAATCTTTGATAAGAAATTGTTTAATTTAAATTTTACAATTATATATAGAATTTAAAAACACAATTCATTTTTATTTTTACACGAACAAAAATTTCAAAAGAAATCATTGGCTAATACTAATTAATACCTATATTTTAATAATATGTTACTAAAATTTATAAGATTTAAAAAAATTATCATATTCACCCTAAACGCTTAGTCCTGACTCTACCCTCCGCTTACATTGAAAAAAGAAATCCATAAATTTTTTTAAATGTAATTAAATCATTCCTTAAAAAAAAATATTAAAAAATTGGAAGAATGTTATAATCATTGCACTAGGAGCATATTGGAATCATGAAAATTTTAAATAATTTATAAGGCATTTTTTTTTAATTTTTGAAGATTGGCTCTTGGATTTTACTAATATTGTGTTCCAACATGTGTATTTGTATAGCACCTTACCATTTGAACATTATTATTGTTAAGTTACTTATAGTTGCATTTACAAGTTACATAATTAAAAAGTTACCTAGTTTGTTATATTTTTCAAAAAAGTAAGCGAATAAGTAACTCAATTTTTTTTAAAGTAACTAGTTACAAGTCACATTTAAAACACTTGAATAAAAACACAGTTAGAGTTACACTAAAAAAGTACATAATTTTGGGTTAATATTTTATTCAGTTAAAGTTATGTGCTCATTTAAAAATGTTACATTAACAACACTATTTAAATTTTATTGATCCTAATATATCTTTAATTTCAATATCTGGGTCATATAGGATATTTTATAAAAAATATTTAAGACAAAGTATACTCTTTTACCCCGTCTAGCTATGACGTAATCGTATCAAAAATTAGACATTATTATATGTATATAATATAATTAATTGGAAAAAAATTTTAAAAATCATATTATAAAATATTATTTTTTACCTTTCTTTTTAATGATCAAAAAGGTCATTATACAATATATACGAGTCTTCGAATTTGTAAAATAAATGATAGAATATGTATTATAAAATTTTTTAGAATTTACCTTATCTCACCTAAAAAAAATCATTATAATTTAAATATAAATGTATGGTTTCGGTTATAATATCTTTTGTCTGCCAAAATATTGATTATTTTAAAATTATTCTACTATTATTTTTTATGAGATGGGATATTCTAATCTCCATCTTTATATCATATCATTTTAATACTTCATATAGGTCAGGTCCAAAAAAAATAATCTAATTTTTTTTCTCCTAGTCTGGCCTAAACAATATTAAAATTATGTTCCGTTCGCTCAGGTTAGTCCGATTTTTGTTTAAAAATTTTAAAATCATTACATTACTTGTGAAAACGAAGGTTAAGCTGGTATTTTCGTCAATTCTTAAAAACGGATAAATCAAATTTAGCCTCGAGATTTCATTAAGAGAGGGCCAAACCTTTCTGCCATGTTTTTGCGAAATTTTGATAGTTAGGTAATAATTTTGACTAATTTTTAAAAAAAACCACGTAAATCGAGGTCTTTATAGCAACACTAACAAGCATAAGCGGGGGAAAAAAATGCAAAAACTTTGATAGTTTTCTAAAGCTGCTTTAAAATATAAAGAAAAAAATAAACAAATACACGCCATAATATTTATAGATATACACATTTAATACACAGGATGTAGATTTTAAAAATTGTAAGGTTGAAAACACAATAGATAGTTCTAACGTTTAAGAGTTCAAGCGTAAATTGGTAAAAGAGATAGCAAGCGCGTTTTCAAAATCAATTCTAAAATTTTCGACATTTCAACATTTCGAACGTTTGTAATATTAAAATGTTTTTTATCGTCTTCTTAACTAGTTAAACTAATTCCATAATTTCTATATTTTCTCAAACGCTGGAACGTTCTGGTATATTCTTAGCTTAGGTAAAAAGTAACTATATATGATTGCTAAATAAAAAGGTCCAATCCTAAAATCAAAATTTAAAAAGTTTGGTTCACCCAACCCAAGTCCGAATTCGGGCGGGTAGACTCGAAAAGATCGGTTTTATTATATTATTGGTTGTAAATTAGAAAATTATGGCTCCATATAATAAATTCTTAGATGACTATTGAGATCATTTTATTATGTATTAATAATTTTACCGCTGATAATGTTAGAATTATTTTCCCAAAAATCAGCCGGTTCTGAAGGTTTTTCCATTGTTTCGTCCCTATTATGAGCCATGACCAACTTGTATTTTCCAAATTCATTCATGGGATCGTAATACAAAAATAATATTCCCATTATGCAATTGGTTTTGGTATAATTGATTTAAAATTCAATTTTTTAAAAAAAAAAAATGATTTCCCTAAATTCATGCAAAATTTTTTTTATTGATTTGAATTATTTATATTTTTTGTAAAAACTTTGGAAAGAAAAAAAAACAAATTATTTTTAAAATAAATAATTTATTATAATAATAATGTAAATTATAATTCTATAGCCAAAAATGGAGAATAATATAAATTTATATGATATTAAGCATTATGAAATCTTTCATAATAAGGATATCAAATCAAGATACTCTTTTAATTATTTTATGGTTATTATTAAATTATTAGTAATTAGTATATTGTGTTCTCTCGATATACAATTTTTTTTGCTCCATAAGCCAAATATAAAATGTCTCTGTATAAGTTATGTAGATACAACATCTTAAATATGTTTGAAAATTGGGGAAGCTTCACTATTATGTGCATTTTCCAGGTTGGGATAATGTGTCTAAAAAAAAGGTTTAGTCAAGGTATAATACATTAAATTTTTTTATATAAATCTAGTTACTTGTATGAGATATTAAAATTAGAGTGGGTATTGTATATAATATCATATTTATAGCTCAAAATAGCGCTAAGCCTCAAAACACATTTAAGTTATATATTCTTTGAAGTCTCATTTAAATTTTTATGATTTATTTACGATTTTTTCCAATTTTTTCACATTTTAATTTATCACATGGCCTTAAGGTCTAAAGAGTAATACTTTAATATCCCTATTCATTTGAAGAGAGAAATTATTTAAATATAACAAATTTAAAATATTTTTAAATATCTCGTTTTTGAAGATCAGAAAATCTACTACTACTATAGTAAATCATTTCTAAATTTGTGTTTTAAAAGTAGTATAATTTCAAAAACGTATATAAAGATAAATATTATTACCATTTTTCATATTTCATATATTATTATTTATAAAAATTACTCATTAAATAATATCAAATCAAATCGAAATGAAATGAAATATTAGCATTTGAATAACTTAGTGTTCATGTGCGAATCTAAGTTTACTATTCATATTCGAATGAATCAAATAATTGCAAACTATTCATATTTTATTTGCACTAATCGTGCTTTATATAACAAAACTTATAACTTATATTTTTTTAGAATTGATTTTAGGATTTATGTATAGTTATAGATAGTATCATAAAAAATTATTTATTCGAAAAAATAAAATGGAAATGTATAAATTTTCTTTGGGGGGAATGGGAGGGGGGGGGGTGTACGGATCAATTTTATTTTTAGTAGTTATTATTGAACATTCAAAATTTTATAAATTTAGTGATTCACTATAAAAATAATATATGCAATCTCCTTTGTGATTGAACTAATTTTTCAATGATTTCATCAGTATTTTGGTGACATCATATGTGTTTATTTAGAAGAGCTAACCCATTTAATTTATTTTTGAGATATCACTTCAGATTTTTATTCATATTAAAACTCTGACTTTGACCTAAATATCAAAAGTAAAATTAATAAATTTTCGTAAATTTAACGAAAAAAGTAAAATAAGCTAATTTTAAAAATAAAATAGGGGCCTAAATCATTTTTTCGTTATAATTAATTTTTTTAAGGTTCGAGAAATTAATAACATTTGATAAATTATAGCCTAAAATTTGTCAATTGTGCAATTTTTACGAAAACAAAGTAAGTATAATATTAATTTATATTTTTCAAATTATAATAAGTTTGGGCAATTTTATATTAATTAAAATGGGAAGTATTTAAATTAATTGTAAAGTGTAAAAATAATTTGGTATAAATTATAGATTTTAAAATTTAGAAAAAAAATATCTTTTTTTAATAGAAGATTTTAGACAAAGAATGAATAGTATTGTTGTATTATCTAATTTTAGACAAAACGCCTTAGCCAAGAATTTAGCCTAAAAAAACAACTCAAACCTTTCATTTTATATGAAGCCGTTTAGGAGTTGGTAAAAGATATGTAAATTTAATATTTATTGCTATGGGAAAAGGGTGTTGGTAAATAATCACATATTAAAATGATATTTAAAATATGGTAAATAAAAGGAATCTATATAGGGAAATACCTGATATAGTGTAGAAGTTATATTAAATTTAGCCGAAGGCCTGATTTTGGCTAGGGGTTTGCTTTAAATGTATACAGCTAAATTTCATAATTTTTCAAATTCGTTTTAAAATATAATTATTTATCCTATAGTTCTATAAAACACATATATGGGGCTGGGTTAGGTTCAAAATTAAATTTTATTATGAAACTATCTACCGACACCCGTTCCGTCACAATAGCCTAAATTCAGTTATTCTTCAATCAAAAGCTTTTTTTTAAAAAAAATTATTATTTATCAAATTTTATATTTGCATTTTTTATGATTATATTATTTTAATGAATCTTTATAGCGTCAATTCATATTAATAGATTAATGTATACAATTTATAGTTTATGTAAAAATGAAAATTGTCCACCTTTGTGGATTAAAAAAAAACTTTATCTATTTATTTATTTAATCGATTTATCGATAAAATATTCTGTGTATACCATAAATTTATATATTTTTTATAGAATGAAATAAATTTTCAGAAATCCTTGAAATATAATAGTTAATTATCATGACATCAAAAGAAAAATTACAATATTTTATTTCGTTTATATATTTGTAGTTAATAGGAATTTGATTAGGGCAATCATTTTGTTTAAATGAGAGAGTTGTCCGAATTAAAGAGTCGAATATAAACAAGTTTTACCATAATTAAAATGAATTAAATTTTCGGCCCAGATCAGGCCTTGAATTTTAATTGAAACACAAATTAAGCCCATTTAAAAATAATTTTATGAAATAAAAATCTTTCTATACTTTGTGCTCATCCAATAGAGAAATTATAATAATGATTTTATTTTAATAGAAGAGAGAACATTATTTCCCATTTTATTTTTTAAACCTGGGCTCCGTCTATATGTTTTCGTCTATAAATAATAGAAGATTACAAATCTAGACATTGTAATAAATATTATTAAATTCATAGAAAACAATATCAAGAAAAAGGAGGAAGTGAATTTATGGGGAAAAATCCATGCCACACTTGTCGCAATGAAAATCATAGCTATGAAGAATGCGAGTATAAAATTGTAAAGTGCTCTAAAGGAGATAAAACATCTTTCCTGGAAGTATGGATAAGTCATTGCCACAGAAATGATGTCTCCTTATAGATTCAAGTCTTTTGGATTATTCCCCACCAATATAATTTAAAAAATATGCCGGTATTTCGATATATTGACGAAATTAATTATACAAAATTATTAAAATGGGAAAAGTATGACAGAATGAAGTGATCCTCTTAATAAAAAACGAAAGGAGAAAAAGGTATATTCTTCTCTAAATATTATAATATGAATAGCGAAGTTAGAATTAGGATAGAGTAGTCATGGAGGAGGGGGTTTAAAGATAAAATCGTTACTAAAGACGTTACTTTTTGTGGAAAATATATATAGAAAGTAACGCTTAATATAACTAAATTACTTTTTTGAGTATCATCACTTAAAAAAAGATGGAAGAACTTAAATGTAACTATAAGTTCATATTATACATTATTTTATTATATACTATATAAATATTTTTTAATTTAAATTATATCTTATCCGATTCAGGTAAAGTCAAATTCTAAAAAGAGCTTATAAATTAAATATAAAATGTTATTCATTCATGCATATAAAAATGCATGACGAATTCCGATGAAAAATTAACTTTTCCCTAGCCACAAATTAAAAATTATTCAGACTAATAATAATAGCTTCAGGAATTAATTTCCCGCCTATTTGTGACATATGTTCTAATGCTAAAATTTATACTTCAGTTAGCAGTTCAAATCTCAGAAAACATATTAAAGCGAAAATATCAACAACTATCTCAGAGCCAAGATATATTCACTAAGGCTTCAAAATTGTTTACTCAAAAGACTTTAACCAGAATTTATGATTTGTTTTAGAAATGAATGGTGGCTAGATTCTAAAATAGAAATGATTTGAATACATGTATCATACAGCAAAGACCAACAGAACTTTAGAGCATTATTAAAGATGGCAAACATTACAAGGAGGATACCTCTATCTAGATTCATAATTGTTGCCATGGACAGGGCTTATATAGAAGAAAATTCATTGGAGGCAAACTCCATCCAAAATCTACTCCTATCCCCATAAAAAATTTTCACATCTTTCGGTCGCGATATTATTTATTTTAAACAATTAGTCACCTTTTACAATCTCAAAACAATTCTAGACTCTTTCAGACCTCATGATTATTTAGTTCAGGAATAATAAATAATCATTAGTTGGTGATGATTAACTAGTTGTTATTAAGTATTAACCGTATTCTAAATATTATCCATGAGCTATAACTTTAAATTTTACTATAGTATTACCTATGAACAGTAATGTATTGTTTAAAAATTTGGCAGGGGGCTACGATTTTTTTAAATATTATCAGAAAATGAGATATAAATAAAAAGATTTTTTTTATTACGAATATGAATACATTTTTTTATTATATTTAAAGAATAATATCACAAATTTATGATTACTATACAAATTAAAAAACTTATAAATATATTAATTTTAAAAAATTCCATAAATCTTTCATTTCTTCTCTTTTTTTGGAGCATTTTTTTGAAAATATTTTAATCGTCCCGGGATAATCCCTTCCATATTTCTACATATAGATATAGAATTCACTCCGATATCGAAAGTCCATTAATATTTTTGAACACTAATGATAAATTATTTACTCTTAACTCGCTCCATTATCTACCGTAATTAAATTCATAAGATTAAAGCCCCTTTCACACTCAGCAGTACTGTTGGATAAAAGAGCCACGCAATTAGGGAATTTTTTAAATTTAGCCTGAAGATCTACATAGGTGAAGCCTAGAAATCGTTTCATATTTATTTAATTTAAATTGTTGGCTGATTCTTTATTTGCTTCCAGTCAAATCGAGTTCTTCATTTTTGAATAAAGAATATACCGGAAAGAATTTCTAAGATAAAATAAAT